GACTCAAAAAAAAAAAAAAAACAGTGTGATGTATAGCTTGTGAACTTGACCTTGTTCTCTGAAAACTGACTTTTTGGCTGAACGCAGTGGCTCATACCTGTAATCTCAGAACTTTGGGAGGCTGATGTGGGAGGATTGCTTGATCCTAGAAGTTCAAGACCAGCCTGGGCAACATAGTGAGACCTTGTCTCTACAAAAATAATAAATAAAAAATAAGCCAGGTATTGTGGTGTGTGCCTGTTGTCCTGGCTACTTGAAGTCTGAAGTTGAAGGATCACCTGAGCTCATGAGGTTCAGGCTGGTGTGAGCTGTGATCATGCCACTGTACTCCATCCAACCTGGGCGACAGTAAGACCCTGACTCAAAAAAAAAAAAAAAAATTAAAGACTAACCTTTGCCAGGTACAGTGGCTCACGTCTTTAATCCCAGCACTTTGGGAAGCTGAGGCGAGAGGATTGCCTGAGCCTAGGGGTTCAAGACCAGCCTGGGCAACTTGGTGAGACCTCGTCTCTACAATAAATCATGAAAAATTAGCCAGACATGGTAGTACACACCTGTAGTTTCAGCTACTTGGAAGGCTGAGGCAGAAGGATTGCCTGAGCCCAGTAGGCCGAGGCTGTGGTGACTGTGAGCATGCCACTGCACTCCAGCCTGGGTGACAGAATAAGGCTTGACTCAAAAAAAAAAAATCTTACCTTTTTTTCCAATTATAAAAGCCATTCATGTCCATTGTGACCAAAGTACAAAGAAGAAAATGATAATCATTTATAATCCATTGTAAAAAGAAGAATACAGGTTTTCTTCTGTGCTTTCTCCTATGCATGTTTTCTTAGTTAAGATTATGCTCAGCCGGATTCAGTGGCTCAGCCTGTAATCCCGCGCCTTTGGGAGGCTGAGGTGAGTGGATTGCCTGAGCCCGCGGGTTCGAGACCCGCCTGGGCAACTTGGCGAGACCTCATCTCTACAATAAATCAAAAAATCTGCTGGGCGTGGTAGTGCATGCCTGTAATTCCTGCTACTCGGAAGGCTGAGGCGGAAGGATCGCCGGAGCCCAGCAGATCGAGGCTGCAGTGGCCGGGAGCAGCCACTGCACTCCAGTCTGGGCAACAGAGTGAGACTCCAACTCAAAAAAAAAAAAAAGATTATGCTATATTTACAATTCAGTATCTTTTTTTTTTTTTTGGCTTAACAGTATCACAAGAGTTTAAGCTCTGAAATCTGAATGCCTGTGTTTAAATACGGCCTTTACTATTTACTATTTCAATGGCCTTGGACAAATATTGAACCTCTCTGTATCTCTGCCTTCCCTGTCTATAAAATGATGATGCTAATAGACCTGCATCATAGTATGGTCATGAGAACTAAGTACATTAGTAACTGTAAAATACTTGGGAAAGTGCTTAAATGTGAGTGCTTAATAAAGTCTTTGTCCCCATTTCATATTATATCTTTCGGACTGAGTCCTAAAAGTAAAATTGATAAGCTAAGAGGCATGATTGGTTTAAAATAATTGTTACCCACAAATTGCTTTCCAGAACATTTCAGTTCCACCAGCTATGAGAATGGCTATTCATTGTATCCTTGTCAGCACTGGTCATTGCTTTCAAATCTTTGTTAGTTTGATAGATAAAATGGCTTCATATTTTTCCTTTAATTACTAGTTAGATATAAAGTATTTTGTTAACTTTATATGTCAATTTTTATGAATTATTGTTTCAAGATTATAGTTTCTATCCATTGTTTGCCTTCTGGGAAGTATTTATTTTTAATCAAGGTATGATGAGAAAAAAGACATAATGAAAAATATTTTATACTACTATCTTATGCTTGTCTCCTCCTTGTCTACCCTAGGAAGCTTTATAAGCGTTATGCTTTTCTCCGTTGTGAAGAAGAAAGAGAGCAATTTCTTTACCATCTCCTCTCTCTCAATGCAGTAGACTACTTCTGCTTCACCAGTGTCTTCACCACTATCAGTAAGTCTGAAGAACTAACTGCTTAGTGAAGAGCGACTGAAGTGACTAATGGAATGAAAGCATGTATTTTTTTTTTTTGAGTTGGAGTCTCACTCTTTCGCCCAGACTGGAGCACAGTGGCTGCTCCCAGCCACCGCAGCCTCGACCTACTGGGCTCCAGCGACCCTTCCGCCTCAGCCTTTCAAGTAGCTGGAACTACAGGCGTGCTCTACCACACCCAGCTAATTTTTTGATTTATTGTAGAGATGAGGTCTCGCCAAGTTGCCCAGGTGGATCTCGAACCCGCAAGCTCAGGCAGTCCACTCACCTCAGCCTCCCAAGGTGTAGGATTACAGGCTGAGCCACCGAGCCCAGCTGGCATGTATGTTTTTTTAAGTGAGATGTACCATTGTACAGACAGGCACTGTGATGCACCCCCCAGGTCTCCATCTAGGAAGTAGGGATAGTGCCCAGCTGCTAGGTGTGCTGCAGGACTCCTTCAGCTGTCAGTGTGGGGAGCCTCCCTGGGAACTACCTTCCTAGTGATGATGCCTTCTGCTGGGCCCACCAGCATCTCATGACTGAACAGAGGACTGTCCTGGAGCTCACCGTGAGGTCAACTGGGAGCCTCCTTGAGACTGTCACAGTTCAGCATCTCCTTCGCCCACCCTGCTTTCCTCCTCACATGTTGATCCCTGGAGCATCATTGTGCATGCTAATTTCTGACTCAGAGACTGCTTCCTAAGACATCAGTCTGGTATAAGAAATACTACCTATGATAGATGTGAAAAGGAATGTTCTCTTAAATAGATATTACTGTATCTTAGCCAAAATACTCAATTCAAAGGCTCAATATGTGGTAGTATAAACCTACGTAACTGGACTTCAGTGCACTTTGGGAAGAAATGCTGAGTAGAGATGTATTTTTGATAGGAAGCTGGATTATAGCATTTATTCTGTCCTCAGTTACTAACTTGTATTTGCAATGGGTCCCCTTTCCTACTTTTTTTTTTTAAGAGACAGAGTCTCACTCTGTCACTTAGGCAGGAGGGCAGTGGTACGATAGCTTACTGCGGTCTTGAACTCCTGGGCTCAAGCAATCCTTCTGCCTCAGCCTCAGTCCAAGGACCTAGAACTATAGATACATACCACTACACCTGCCTATTTTCTTCATTTTTTTTTTCTTTTTTTTTTTTTTTTTTTGAGTTGGATTCTCACTCTGTTGCCCAGGCTAGAGTACAGTGACACACTCTCAGCCACCACAGCCTTGACATGCTGGGTTCAGTAGATCCTTCTACCTCAACCTTCCAAGTAGCTGGAACTACAAGCATGAGCCTCTACGCCCCACTAATTTTTTTATTTATTGTAGAGATGAGGTCTTGCCAAGTTATGCAGGCTGGTCTCGAACCCATGAGCTCAGGCAGTGCTCTCACCTCGGCCTCCCAAAGTGCTGGGATTATAGGCGTGAGCCACCATGCCCAGCCTTACCTGCTTAATTTCTTTTAGTTTTTTGTAGAGACAGGGTCTTGCTCTATTGCCCATGCTGGTCTTGAACTCCTGGCCTCAAGCAGTCCTTGTGCCTTAGCCTCCCAAAGTACTGGTATAACAGGCATAAGCCACTACGCCTGGACCCCCTTTCCTACTTTGGAGAAATTGTAAAATATATATATATACATATTTTTTAATATACACATGCACACACACATATATTAGGAGTTGTGTTCAGCTACAAGTATCAAAAATGTAAAAATCAGTGGTTTAAATAGCTTAGTAGTTTCATTTTTTCACATAATAGCAAGTCTCAAAGCAGACAGTCTGCAATGTCATCCTGAAACCAGGCTGGTTGTCTCTTTCCTCCTAGGTATCCCTCAGTGTGTGCTAATCATATCATGGCCTCAAGATGGCTGTCCTCACCCCACCTTCCAGCAGAAAGGAAGGAGTGTCAAGGAGGAAGGGGGAGGATCTGTGCTAGAAACACATAATTTTCCAAAAAGACCTAATAAACATCACTATCATTTCACTGGCCAGAAATGTATAGGTTTTGACTTTCCAGTCTCTGGTAGAGACAGACAAAGGAAAAGGAAAGTGAAATGGGTACTAAGCCAACCATAATATCTGTCAGGCTGCCATTAGTTTATTGGATTACTACAGGTATAGGAAGCTAAGTTGTTACATGTAGTTTTATTTATTTATTTTATTTTTATTTTTTTTTATTTATTTATTTATTTTTGAGTTGGCGTCTCACTCTGTTGCCCAGACTGGAGTGCAGTGGCCGCTCCCGGCCACCGCAGCCTCGACCTGCTGGGCTCCGGCGATCCTTCCGCCTCAGCCTTCCAAGTAGCTGGAACTACAGGTGCGCGCTACCACGCCCAGCTCATTTTGATTTATTGTAGAGATGAGATCTCGCCAAGTTGCCCAGGCGGGTCTTGAACCTGCGGGCTCATGCAATCCACTCAGCCTCCCAAAGTGCTGGGATTACAGGCTGAGCCACCGAGCCCGGCTTATTTTTATTTTTTTTAATGTGACGAGGGTCTCACGGTGTTGCCCAGGCTGGTCTCAAACTCCTGAGCTCAAGCAATCCTCCTTCCTCGGTCTCCCAAAGTGCTGGGAATTATAGGTGTGAGCCACTGTGCACAGCCAGAGTAACTTTTTCAGTTTGAGGAATTCTTCATGAAAGAAGTTTTTATTGATATTGTTTTTCTATAAACCATGAAATCACTGTTGTGCATCTGTGGTTCCTTTTCAGACACAGAACTGCTGACCCTAAACAGGCCTTTTTCTGCAGCTTTTCTCTAATCCTATCAATGCAAGGAATGAGAGAGGTCTCTGGCACCAAAAATAAAGTCTTACACTAACCTCTTCTGCTTTCAGTTTCAAAAATCATTTTATTCTGATGATTACTAAACCATGAAGTATGACCTTTCCTCTGACGTTTGTATGACCTTTCCTCTGACGTTTTCCTTCCTTCAGCCAAAATAAAAGGACAAAAAGGAGGTTATTCATCTAACATAAAGTCCTTTATGTAAAATTAGGGTAATGAATTATTTATATCATTTGTTTTCCTTATCTAACACTGTATTGAACTGTGAGCTCATATCGTGAGGTTGTATCTGGGCACTCTGTGCAGTAAATGTTTTTCATCCTATGTGCAGATCTTTCAAAGAGCTGACACCCCCTCTTGTGTCCAGATGAGCAGAAATCCCAAGTATACCAACAAAAAAATCATTGATTCTACCCTACTTTTTAAAAAAACAGCCAGACTCAGTGGCTTATGCCTGTAGTCTCAGCACTTTGGGAGGCTGAGGCGGGAGGATTGCTTGAGTACGGGAATTCAAAACCTGCCTGGGCAACAGAGTAAGACCTCATCTTTACAAAACGTCAAAAAAATTAGCGAGGTGTGGTGGTCCAGGAGGTTGAGGCTGCGGTTAGCCATGATTGTGCCATTACACTCTAGCCTGGGTGACAGAGTGAGACCCCTCTCACTATGGGAGCTCTTCTGTCCTCTCAGTAAGTCCAACTTTCAAAAAAAAAACAAAAAAACAAAAACAAGCTGGGCTCGGTGGCTCAGCTTGTAATCCCGCGCCTTTGAGAGGCTGAGGTGAGTGGATTGCCTGAGCCCATGGGTTCGAG